TGGTGTGACCCTCATTCCATGCTGGAAACTAAGGTCAGAGATGTCCAGCAGATGGTGTTGGTGGTAAATCATTAAGGCCAAGAGCAGTAGCTCCTCTTTTGAAACGAGCATTTCAAGAAAAAGATCCAGTGCTACAGAGGGCTTACCTATCACTGTAGGTGTTCTGAGACTGGGATGCAGAATGTTGGACAAAAAGCTTGGATTCAAGTCCCCTAGCTACTTTCTTCACTACCTCGGTGACCTTCAGGAAGTCACTTACCTTTGCTGATCCTCAGCTTTTTTTATCTATAAAATAGGGCCAACAATGTCAGGATCAAAGATATATACTGGCTTTGTCTACTAAAATCCTGTGCAGGTGTGTGTGAGGCATTATAGTAGAAAATGGGAACCGGTGAGGACCAAGGAGAGGGTGTGACGGCTCAGGTTGTCACATTCTCATCATGGGAATAAGTACCGTACCCCAAACATCTCTATGCATAGGGTTTGGAGTTAAAGTCTGGGTCCCAGGTCTGGCTTTGCTCTATTAATCAACTATTTTGCTTCTCTGAGCTTCTGTGTCCCTATTTAAAATACCTCCTCATTGGGCTGTTGTAAGGATTAAATAAGATGAGGTATGTAAAAGTTCCCAACGCATTGTTAGCAGTCAGTAATTTGAGGCCATTCTTACTGGAATGGGCCTCTGTGGGTCTCATTTACCTAGAGTTCAGGGGTAGAGGTACCTTTTAGGACTTTTCTACCTTTACAAAACCCTGTTATTTCATCCCATGTTTAGGTTTGGTTCTTGATTTTCAAAGCATAGCTTCCATCTGAAATGTTTCAGCTGGGAAAGTGATTTGTTTTTGCTTAATTTCTTCTATCCCTATTAACCTGAAGAAGCTAGCCCATCCTTTTGAGCTGTAAATTGTATTTCAAAGACTGTGTCCCTGGTGTGCTTTAATTAGCTTAAGGACCCAGTTTTCTGCAGCAGTTGTTTTTCTAGCAGGTAAAGGTATAGACACTCACTTGGGAGCTAGACCCTGGTTTTATCAAACACAGCATATCTACACTCACCCCCTCCCAGCTCTTCATCGTCCTGGGGGCCTGTCTCGTATCAGCCCCAAAGGAAAAGTGGAACATAAGGACCCTAGATTTAGAGTCAGAGGACCCACGGGGTACTTGACGCTACTACTCGTGGCTGTAGCATTCTCTCTGCTCCTTAGAGTGAGGACATATAAGCTTCATGCTCACTAAAGTCCCTGGTAATCTGACATTTCAAAAGTCTCTGGAGCCCTAACTGGTGTGGCTCAGTGGATAGAACGGCAGCCTGCGAACTGAAGGGTCCCAGGTTCGATTCCATGTACCTTGGTTGCGGGTAGGGGTGTGCAGGAGGCAGCTGATCAATGTTTCTCTCTCATTAATGTTTTTAAATATAGTCTCTGGAAACAAGTCTGGTTCTTTCTCCCCCTCCCCTGTTTTACCTCCCCTCCTTACTACCATCACCAAGAACAGTCCCTCTACTTATCTCTCCTTAGCTCATTGCTAAGCGTGGGGCCTCTGGGGGCTGCAGATGCCTTGCTCTCAATTACATAGCTAATCTGTGAGGCAGGGTTTAGCCCAGGAGGGAAAATAGCTTATCAAGAAAATAGCTTATCTGCTGAGTAGGATGTCAATATTTTCTAGGGCTTCCACTCTAAGCTAGGGGGAAGCCTGAAGAACCAAAAAAGGATTACTTGGGTAAGATTGAGTTGAGGATGGTTGGTCTGTGGAGGAAGGTGCTTGGGTCAGAGACCAGAGAAAGTGCCTGAGATCTCAGCCCTCCGAGGTCCCACTTAGGGCAGGGCCATCAGCTAGCCCTTCTCACCTCACCTCCTCACCTCTCTCTAACATTTACCGAGCACTTACTGTGCCCCAGGCTTTGTCAGTCCTGTCTCTAACTTTTGGAAGGCAGAGCAAGAGGATAGATGGAGACAAAAGCATCATATGTCTAAATATTTTAAAGTTATAAGTAAAGCTAACAAATTTGTTTTCTTCCTAACAACTTGGAAGACTGTGTCTGGATTTAGAATTTTTGACTCTTTGGGATTCTGCACTTGAACCTAGCAGTTCTAGGAGAATTTGTCTGAGTATGCTTCCTTCCCACTTCCCACCCCCAGTTCCATCCCTCCATATTAGGACCTTCAGGGACATGAATGTAGATACTTGAGCTTTTCTCTATCCTCATAGATAACGTCCCCTTGTACTTAGGGGACACACACAGCAGCACAGCCTGCCTCCAAAGAATGTGCAGGCTTTGAAAGCGGAGTGGAGCCGAAACCGGTTTGGCTCAGCAGATAGAGCATCGGTCTGCGGACTGAAGAGTCCCAGGTTCGATTCCGGTCAAGGGCATGTACATGGGTTGCGGGCACATCCCCACAAGGGGGTGTGCAAGAGGCAGCTGGTCATTGTTTCTAGCTCTCTATTCCTCTCTCTTCCTCTCTGTAAAAAAATCAATAAAAAAAAAATTTTTTTTTAAAAGAAAGTGAAGTGGAGGCTGTTTAGACGGGAAGGTATCGAGGTTGGGTGCCTGGAGTATGCTTCAGGTGGACATTTCTCCTTGGCTCTGCAAATTCCTCACCCAGAGTGGCCAAGTCTCGACAGATCAGAAAACTGACCTTCATGTGACATGGTTTCTGGCTATCTCTCCTTGGTATCATTCACAATGTGCTCTAGTCTGACCTTGATCCTCATCTAGAATAGGCCCACAAATGGTAGTGTTAGTAGAACAGAGAAGTTGAACCTAGTCAAAATAGTTATTAGATCTTACAGCTTGCAAAGTCCTTTTATGTGCATTGTCTAAACCCTAGATGATTAGAGAAAAGACTAGACAGGACCGAGGCTAAAGTGAAAAGCCTGTGCTCACCAGCCAAGCAGCAAGTACTGATCCCGCAATCGGTCATACCAGGAGCAGTTGCACAGTGGTGGTAGAGGGTTCTGGCAGACGTCTGAGGAAACACAGCAACTGTCATGTCCCTACCAGATCAGTGGCAGAGCCAGCAGTCATCCACAGATCTCTGAGCCATAATCCCCCTCTCATCTTTCTATCTCAGTCCACACCCAGGCCTGGTTGGTCCCCTCCAGCCAAAGCAGGTAGCATCTCCCTAGGCCAAAACTCAATGGTTTTGAGCTGAACTAACCAGGAGAGAGTTATCTGATTACCATGGAGAAATCCCACAAATTTCTTGTATACCCATAGATGGGCAAAGGAATTAACGTTTGAGTGGCTTGTCATCCAGATAGGAAAAAGGATGTCAGAATTGTGAGGAATAGGGAGTCCAAAGATAACCACAAATTTCGAGCATTTCCTCCTGCATATGGACAGTGTATTGGGTGTTTTCATGGGTCTGTTGTGTCCCTCACTGCTTAATAAATGTTGACGATTGGATGTAGAGGGAAACTGAGTAACAAAAAAGAATCTGTCCCTCCCAGGCCATTTCCAAGGTTGGCACCAGGCCCTTCATCAGCAGCAGTGCCTTCTCAGACTTTCTTACATACTTAGGATGGCACACTTGGACCCCACTATATCCTAGGAGCAGGTTCTCAGAATGTTCCTGTCCAGCCTATGGTTCTCTTGCAAACAATGCCATCTGTTGGTCAGAACATGCCAGCTTCCAGGCTAGGAGAATTGTGGAAAGAATTGTGGATTCTAACCCTGATGGAACAAAGAATACAGATTTTCCAGCTTACATCTAGCTCTTCTCTATTTTACCAAAAAGAAGCCCCCTCTTTCCAAATATATTAGGTAATTAGGTAGGAGTTTATGGTTAGCTTACACTGGTGAGAGTTTTATACATATGGCTTGGGGGTCTTTAGCACCTTTTTTTCTTTTTAGCACCTTCTGAAATAACTCCAGGATGGGGTATTGAGATGGGCGTGCTTTAAAAGGGAGTTACATCAACCCATGCCAATGAGCCAAGAAGTATAAATGCCAAGGCTTAACGTTAGCCCTTTCCTACTGAAATTGAGCTTCTTTTTCCCTTTCATGCTGTATCTTGTGCCCAGCTGTAACCTATTTATGGAAAGGGGTAGCAGAGATATTTATACAGCCATTTGGGGTAAAAGACATTGCCAGAGTATAGAGAGGAAAGAGTAGGTCTGGTATTATACCTAGCAAAGAGAACTAAATTTGAATGAGTAAGTATAAAGATAGTTAACTCTAAAAAAATTATTTAAAAACAATTCTCAGGTAAATATGCTGACTTAACTGTAGTGTTTACATGGGTGTGAGCTCTGGGAAGGACTGTAATAAAGTTGAAAGAAATGGGCTTTTTAGGGACTAACTGACATGGGTTTGAATGGCCATTCTTGGGAAGTTAATGAAGTTATTGAAGTCTGTTTGTGGCAAAATATTAGTCATACTTATGGGTTAGGCATTCTCCAAAGGGAGTTGCACCAATGGGCAGAAGACTGAGCCCACATTGAGTGTTGGAGTGAGACTTGTTTTCAAAATGGCAGGTACCATTAAGGACAGCAATAGCTGGGTCCATGTCTGGATCAGACTGAGCAATACTACTCATAATATGATATTGTTCTGGAGCAGACATTACTTGTAATTACCATGTGACTTTTTGGCCACGTTTTTACATGGAAGGAGCAGAAGCTGTGGCAGGTCTTCAAATTTAGATCCTGTGTGGAGTGGTAACTTTTGAGATGAACATTAAAGATGGAGTGAATTTAAAAGAATTAGAATCAGGCAGACCAGGATTCAGATCCCAGCCTTGCCATTCACTAGCATTGTGACCCCTGAATGTGTGTTCTCTTGCTTCTGCTTGTCCATACCAAATGAGAGAACATATGTAAAGCACCTGGCATGAGCTCATCAGCCAATAAGATGAGCAAAAATGGGGAGCTGGATGCTGTGGGGCGGGGAGAGGGGGTGTGGGAAAGCATAAAAAATCCATCTGGCTATGATGTGGGCCATGTGCAGCCCTTGAGCCCAACCCGTGGACCCAGCCTCACAGTGGCTCTCTCTCCAGGTGCCCACCATGTCCTTGAAGATCCAGACAAGCAACGTAACCAACAAGAATGACCCCAAATCCATCAACTCTCGGGTCTTCATCGGAAACCTCAACACAGCTGTGGTGAAGAAGTCGGATGTGGAGACCATCTTCTCCAAGTATGGCCGTGTGGCCGGCTGTTCCGTGCACAAGGGCTATGCATTTGTCCAGTATGCCAACGAGCGCCACGCCCGAGCAGCTGTGCTGGGAGAGAACGGGCGGGTGCTGGCGGGGCAGACCCTGGGTAAGCTCCCAGCATTCTCCTGAGTAGGTGCTGACTTTCACTCTCCAACTTCGCTTTTAATCCCTTTTATGTTACCCCTACTACTACTCGCTATCCCTGTCGGAGATGCTATAACTTAGTTATAAACTTAGTAGTTACAAATCAGTGCATTAGGCTACCGATTGGTTAGATTAGAACCCTTTCTGAGAGTCAGGAGGAGGTGCTAGGAGCACAGTTGAAGCAAGCAGGGACCCTTTGCCTTGGTGTTACATACATGAGATGTGGCCACGCTGGTGGTCTACTGTGGAGTGTGTATTGTGTATATGTGTATGTTTGATAGGGGGTATTTGTATATGTATTCCTGAGTATGTGGTATGTGGATATAACTGAATACGTGGACCTATACCTATAGTGGATATGTATGTAGTATGTGTCAGAACATATATGAGTGTGTAAGCAGATATGCATATATTCATTTACCAAATATTTGTTGAGATCCCATCACATGCTAAGCACTGCTCTAGGCATAACTATGTTTGTTAGACTGTATGAATGCACATTAGATCTTTTGTATATGGTATTGGGATCAAGTCTGAATGTACTTGAGAGTGTGTGTGTGACCTTATTACCTTATTACCTGTATATGTGGACATGTGTGAGGGTGTTATCTATGTTTATGTTTACATGAGTGTACTTGAGAATGCATTTGTGTGTGATGTACATGAAGTATGTGTGAGTGATATGTTTATGAGCTTGCATGCATGTGTCTGAATGTATATGAATATGTAAAGAGGTGTTTCCATGTGTTGTGTGGGTATAAGTCTAATGTGTGAGGACATCTGTTGGGTTGGCTGTGTCAGTGACTCAAGTCCATGGGTACATCATATGTACACATAAATTGCTGCACACTTGCATGAGGGTGACATGTGTATGGGCACCTGCTGTACTGCCAGCATCTGACTCTGCCTTTTCCCTTCACACAGACATCAACATGGCTGGTGAGCCCAAGCCCAACAGACCCAAGGGGTTAAAGAGAGCAGCATCTGCCATTTATAGGTGGGGCACTCTGCCTTGTCTGTCTGTCTGTCTGTCTGGGTGGGGTTGGTCCGTGGTTGCTGTGCTGAGCCTAGAATTTGGGAGGGTGTTTGGAGATGAGGGCCTGTGCAGAGTGGGCTGAGCGGCCGTCCCTAAGCCCCTGCCCTCTCCCCTTTGTTTCCCCAGTGGCTACAGCTTTGACTATGATTACTACCGGGACGACTTCTACGACAGGTGAGCAGGGAAGGGGCGTGCCCAGGCATGAAGCAGCCAAGCTGGAAGGGTCCTGAGAGATTGCTGGTGCAGCCCATTCAGCCATCCAAGTGGAGCGAAGTCCAGAGATGTGGACGGGCATTTGCCCAAGGCTGCTCCACAAGTGGGTGGCAGAGCGGGGACTAGACTTAAATTTGCAGGTGCCCAGCTAGAGTTCCCCACCCCACATCGTCTCCCACTCTCTGCCTGCCGTCTTCTTCCTAAATCCAGGGTGGGACTCAGTGGGAATGGACAGCCAAGGGACTCATACACGCAGCAAGTTGGAGTACAGAACGGTGCAGGGCCCAGTGCAGGGAGTTTGGGCTCTTATGCTTCTGCTGTTCCATCTAAGGTACCCAGCCAGCTGGAAGGGATCTCAGAGCTCAGTCCGAGTGGCTGGGCCCTATTTTTATAGCCAAGAGTTAACGACCCTTTTAGAGATGTGAATTAATCCCCGGTAGGCTCTGGCCCAGCCTACCCAGACTCCATACTTGAGGCTGTGGCCTCCACTCCATGGCTCCATCCACATGCTTGAGTGGAAATCATGGTGGGAGCTCGCCCAAACTTCCCATTGCTTCTCTCCCTCTGTCTTTCCCTCCCTCCCTCTTGGCCTGCCCCAGGCTGTCCAAGAACAGAACCTTTCTGAGCCTTGGTGTTCTCACCTGTGAATTGTCTCAGGAAACAGTGCAGTGTAGTTGAAAGTGCCTTAGCCTGGGAGTCAGAATACCTGGGTGCTAATTCCAGCTTTGCCACTGAATGGATTGCATGACTTTGGGCAAATTCCCTCCCAGTCTGTGAAATGGGCTTGCACCAAATGATCCCTTGGGGCTCCTCCCGCTCTGGGATCCTGTGGTTCAGTGATTCTGACCAAGGCCAGAGCCGCCGCCTCCCCTTTGGGGCAGAAATGCAGTGTCTGGGACTGGATCCATTCCCAGAGACTTTCCATCTCCAGGAATCACCAACCCAGGGCAGGGGCCCCCTGAACAAAGGAGTGCCAAGGCATGGGGCATTGCATTGCTTATTGATGTCAGGTTTCCTGGTTATCATCAGGAAAGTGGCCCTACAGTGTTCCCCTGAGGCTGCTGTTCCCTGCACAAAGGTGGTAGCAGATGTGGTGGCAGAGACTCCTACTCAGCCTACTGAGCTGCATGTCAGGGAAAGAGGCCTTCCTGGGAGGGCTGGGTAATGGTGGGGGGCGGGGTGGGGCAGGCAGCACATAGTCTGCCTGGGGATCTGATTGAGTTGCCCAACCTGATACTCTACTGAGTCTCCTGCCCTCCATCTCTGAAGTGGATAAGGAAGGAGAAAGTGATTGAGGGGGTTCAGAATGAGGAAAGGCCCTCATGTTTCTCTTTGTAGCCTGGTTATTCATCAGACACACCTTCTAACATGGGATTTAACCACATTCTCTTGTGCGTTACCTCACTGCAGTTTTGGGGGGCATAGGGGCTCAGAATTTGGGATAGCCATCCTCATTAGGCAGTTGGGGAAACTGAGGCTCGGGCAGGCTTCGGGATTGCCCACCAGTCCCACAGCTCTCTGTTCCCAGCTGAAGGTTTGTGCTGCTTTGGCGAAATTTACAAACTCTGACCAGGGATTGAGGTGGCTGTTGATTGAGCAGAATGCAGGTCAGAAATAAAGCAGGCCTGGGTGTCAGGGTGGCTCTATCTAGGGAAGGCTCCTTTCTGGGGCTGGTCTCAGTTTACTCCTCTATTGAATGGGACTGTAACTATTACCACCTGCAACCTCATCTGCCCTTGAGCAGCTGGCTGGTAGGAAAAGAGAATGTAGTGAGGATCCCAGCAGCTCTGAGGGTTCTGAACACCCTTTCTCTTCACCCCAGGCCTTGTTGGGAGCAAGCAGAGGTGTGTGTTGCAGCCAGCCCGTCACCACGTACACACATTTTAGTCTAAAGTTACGGTGACCCTTGGTGGCCACAGGCCGTGCTGCAGACTCTGGCCCGTTTGCCCTCACAGGCTGTTCGACTATCGGGGCCGCCTCTCGCCGGTGCCCGTGCCCAGGGCCGTCCCCGTGAAGCGACCCCGGGTCACGGTCCCGTTGGTCCGGCGTGTCAAAGCCACCATTCCCGTCAAGCTCTTGGCCCGCTCCACAGCCATCACCACCAGCTCAGTCAAAATTAAGTGTAAGTGACTCACTTTCTTCCTAAATAACTTTCTTTTTGTCATTAGCAAAATAATAGAATTACATTTTTTTACATTGGAAAATAGATAAAGGAACAAATCTCCCACAGTTCTGCAGTTCTAACAACCAAGTGAGTATTTTCATGTATTTCTAAGAGAAAAAAGGCTGACGTTTCAGGCGGAGGGGCTTGGGTTGGGCAGAGTCCAGCACTGTGGCATGGAGCCTATCTTTCCTCCAGTAAGGACAGGACAGGTCTACACAGGCCCACTACTCACATTCGCTCCGGTGTGCAGACGCTGCGGTCAGGCACTCTGATTGTAAAACACCCACATTTACACACCTTGAAAGGCAGAAACCACTCTATATCACCAGCAAAGACACATACTCGCTCAGGAACACCTCCTTCCTATCCATCCACAGTCCCTTTCAGAAATGAGAGGTTGGGTGGGGGGAGGATACAGGTTCAGAAGGACAGTCTGGTCTCTCTAAGAATGGCTTTCAGAGCCTCAAGGGAAGCCACAGGCAGCCGCAGCCTCTTCCCTGGCCAGAAAAGGAGCTGCAGACAAGGGCAGTTCCTGTCTTCCTCGTGTCAGAATGGGGCTGGGAGAGCTCCCAGTCCCCAGGTGACAGCCCTGTACTCCCTCCACTCCCAGTAAAGAGCAGTGAGCTGCAGGCCATCAAGACAGAGCTGGCGCAGATCAAGTCCAACATTGACGCCCTGCTGGGCCGCTTGGAACAGATTGCTGAGGAGCAGAAGGCCAACCCAGGTCAGCTTCCAAGGATCCTTCCCCTGGTTCAAGTGACCAGGGGCCCCAGGCGAAGGGTGCGGGGAGGACAGTGCATGGCACAGAGAGGGGCGATGGCCTCTCATCCCACCTGGACCCACTGTGTTGAGGCCGAGCTTCTGCCGAAGTGCTGCCCAGGAAGCTATCCCAGGCTGAATTTTATTCCCCTTTTCACCATCCTTTTCCCTCAAGATGGCAAGAAGAAAGGCGACAGCGGCAATGGCAGTAGTGGTGGCAGTAGCCGACCACTGGCCCCCCAAGAGGACACAACTTCGGAGGCAGGCACACCCCAGGGAGAAGCGCAGGCTCGAGATGACGGCGATGAGGAGGGGCTGCTGACACACAGCGAGGAAGAGCTGGTGAGGGCACGGTTGGAGGGCTGAGCCTGGGGTTTTCACTCCTAGTCCTCCCCCCCCCCCCCCCCAGGGAAGGGGAACCTCTGAGCTGGTTCCTTTTTTCCAGGGGCTCCAGTCCTGAGAGGAAAGTGGGGAATGAGCAGGAAGTATTGATAGTTGCCTATTTCAGCCACCAGTCAGAGAAGTCCCACAGAGGTCTGAGGCAGACTCTCTTGAGCCCAGGCCCATTGGAGACTCGGTTTTCCACACGGGGACGGGAGAGTCAGGAGCTCATGAGGCACATACGGTGTGCACAGTTGCAGGGGCAGGACTGGGGTTTCCTGGGGAAGCCAGAGGGAAGTAGGTATCCATTCTACCTGACAATTTTCTAAAAGCCTTTGTTGCATGGGCATGAACTAGGCTGTCTTATGAGGGATCAAGGGAGCTCCCCATCTGTGAGGGTAAAAATCATTTGGCAAGGAGCTTACATTTAGTGGAAGGTAAACCAGATTCCGAGCCGATAAGGTATTTCTCGTGTGCTTACTGTTTGTTTACCTAAGGAACACTCAGTTGAGCACCGGGCCCTACAGTCCATACTTTCTAACTTCATTTAACCTTAACAATAGCCCCGCATTGTACACAGTGTTTGCTCTTCCACATTTTACCCTGTGAGGAAACTGAGGCTCAGAGGAAACTGAGTCAGCTGGCTCAGGGCCTGATAGCTAATACGGGACAAGCCAGGATTGGGCCCAGACTTCTTCACTAGGTCTGGGACTTTTCATCCCTGCCAGGCTCTGCGAGGACAGAACTTAAGAGCTCCTGCTCATGTCCAGCTCATTTCTTCTGTGCACCTAGTCTGGTAATTCAGCTCACTCTAGGGCACAGTAGGCTTCATAAAGGCTGTAACAAAGGCTTAGATGTCCCAAGATGGAGAGCTCGCTGGTATTGTAGGCTCTTAGCCCGCTCCAATCTGAGAAGGTCTTTCTATGCAGAAACATGCCCCCTGCCACACATAGAACTTCCTTGACTGGTTCTTTCTCTCTCCCAACGGCCCTCAGCCCACCTGATGCAATCCCAGATCAGCCTTGTGTAGACTGGCCCCACAGCCATTTCCTCTGGCTGTCCCTCCCGCTTTCTGAGTGTGGCCTCTAGCTGTGCTCTGGGCCCAGGGCAGGACTCAGAGCTTGCAGTGAGTGACGTGTGGTCTCTTGTCGCCTCCTCCCTCTCAGGAGCACAGCCAGGACACAGACGCAGAGGAAGGGGCCTTGCAGTAAGCAGGTACGGCGGTCCTGGTGGGCAAGGGGTGAAGTGGAGGGCATGCCATGAGGCCGACTGGCAGGGTCGTGCTGTGTCCGGCCATGAAGGCCCCTCTATACCCAGCCATCTCACCACCCCTCTTTGTGGTCGGGGTTTGGTAGGCTGTGGGATTGGGAGCCAAGGACGGGCTAGCCAGGTTCGTCCAGCAGAGGTTTCCTCAGCACACTGAGCCACGGTACCCGTCTGAACCCTTGAGGATCTCTGAGAATCCTCTCTTCTGGAGGAAAACACAAACTGTTACCATCCAGTGTGAGCAGGAACACAGGCTGAAGAACTTGGGCGGGAGTGTCAAAGAGGGCTGTGGTGGAAGAGGTGATAACGCAGCTGAGCCTGTTTAGGATTGAGGGAGAAGCATCCGAGGGACAGACACCCTGAGCAGAGGCGCAGAGTGCTGGTAGTCCTCCCAGGCATCTCCTGTGGCTGCCGTCCCAGCTCTGCATAGTAGAGAGAGGAGCTGCTCATCATCAGAGGGTGAGGTTGTGCCAGGCTTAGGGTCTGGGACTTGATCCTTTCAGGTGGAAATGCTCTATGTGCCAGGAGGTGCCCCACAGCTTGTGATTGTGCCAATACCATAACAGATGTGGTAACTGAGGCACTGAACGGGTGGGCAGGGTAATATACCACGCATCTCGTAAGATCTCCAGGGTGGTAATTGGTGGGGCCCAGATTTGAACCCAGTGGTGTGTGGCTTCAAAGCCTGCTCTCACCAGTACTCACCACCTGGCTCTGCCACGCTGCCCTATTCCTTTGGGGCCATGCTCAGAGTTAGACATGTTTGGATGGAGGAAGACCTCAAACAACAGGAAGCACCTTAGGGAACATTCTTGCCGTGAGATGCTTCACCAGCGAGGGCTTCCCTGACCGTTTAGTTTAGGAAATTCCATGCATGCAGTTTTTTCTCTTGGAGCCTCATGGTTTGCTTTACCAGAGGGAGTAAGTTTTATCTTGCTAAGCCAGTTTACAGGTGAAGTGCAGGGCCTAAATGGAGGCTCAGGAAGGGGGTTAGAGAATTGGCCAAAGTTACAAGGCCAGAAAATTATGAGGCCAGAGCACAGGCACACGTCTGTCTGCAAGTAGCAAATATCATAACACCCTTGCTTTTTCCCCAACCCATTTTTAAGGAGCACAGGGGCTTTTCTTCTCAGCCTTAGTTTCTATTTGTTTCTTTCTCAGTCTGACAGGAGCGATGGCCACGGGAAGGCGAAGGGCATGCACTGTACCAGGCCTCAGGCTGGGCACCCACCCCTGGATGCCACCCCAGCAGGTCCCAGAGAACTGGCAGCAGGCACCTCATCCCCCATGCATCCCAGCCAGTGCCGCATCCTCTGCAGGTGGAGTTATTGGTCTCTCCTCCCCACACACCCTCCCTATTGGCACTGCCCAGGCCAGAGGGCAGAGCACAGAGTTTTCTCTACACTCTGTCCAGGACACTCCCAGGCTTGGGGTTTTTCTATAGGTTTGGAGAGGGGAGAGGAGGGGGGCACAGGGAGGAGACCCTGACAATAAAGAGATTGGATTCCAACTTACTCTGAAATGGGATGGTTTGCATTTTCTCATGAAGGTACTCTGGCCTTCTTGTCCAGCCAGAAAGCAGATCTGCTGTACCCCTTCCCTCTAACCTATCAGGGACCATTGTCTGAGGCAGCCAGCGGTTGCCAACCAGTGGTCCTCGGACCAGTTGTGGTCCGTGAGGTCCAAAAGGTTGGCGACCGCTCGTCTGGGTGTATAATATTAATCCACCTGGGCCTTAATTTCCACTAAAATGGAGATAAAAATAGCCAGCAGGGTTGTTGGGGAGGGTCAGATGTGCCAGTACCCATGAGAGCACCTTGGTGGCTGAGTGCCCCTTGTGAGCCACTTGGTCAGGCAGCAGAGGTCCAGGCCTCAGCTTCTCACTAGTCTGGTGTCTCTCAGCTCTAAAGCAGTGTTTCTTCCCCTTCTCTCTCCTGGTTCAGGACTAGTTTTTATTCCCTTGGACTCTGTCCTCTCACCAGCCTCCCGATTCCAGCTTCTCCCTGCCCATCTCTCATTGGCCACCAGTGTTACCTCTGAATTATTTCCCTTCCCTGTATAAAACCCTTCTGACTGGCTTCTCACCATCGAGACAAAATGCCAGCTCCTGAGTATGGAATACACGATCCGGTCGGTCTCTCCTGTTATTTTGACACCGCGCACACACAAACCTTAGACAGCAGCCACACAAAACAAGTCCTTCACGCTCATCGGCAACGAAAAATAGAGCCCCACGCCTGTTACCTCTCACAGTAGGGGTTTGGCACAGGATGCATGTGGCCTACCTATACTCATCTCTGTTCTTTAACAGGCCAGGTTCCCTCAGCCTGCACCTCCGTCCTAATCTTCCCTCCCTCCCCTGCCCTGTGTTTCCCATAGATTCGCATTCCCGTGGAGAATTAACTGCCACAGCAGTGTATTTTGAGTTAGTCATAGATTACAGATATCTCCTCTGGTCCAGTGAACCGGGTGATTCATGTGTGGCCGGCCACTCAGGCTGGTTTCATTGGCTTAGGGTTGTTGGTGGGCAGGCACTCATAAACATACTTTGCTCCACACCTGGCACATACTCTCGCTCCTACTTTTTCTACCTGGGAAGTATCCACCCATTATTAAGCTGCATCCCAGACTTGACAAGTCTCTACTTGGCTGAGATACTGGGAGACAGCTAGAACAGCAGGGGCTATGGACTTCCGTAGTATGTCAGGGAAAGAATCTGAGGAGGAAGCATCTGCTCTACCCAGAGGCCTGCCTAATCGCCTTGGCACCAGAACATATCCTGGACAGAATGGGACCCCTGTCCTGGCATACCAGGGAACAGTAACAGTTATGAGCGGGAGGTTCATAACCACAAAACCCTGCATACATATGCCTGCCCTCCCCATGTCTGCGGTTAGGAAAGTCATCTCCCATTCCATGCTCAACAGTTTCAATTTGCTGTCTTAACCTCTAAAAACCGAAAAGAGATGAAGAAATGTGATACCAGGTTGTGCCCAAAGGACCAATAGCTCTAGATCCATGGTTGGCAAACTGCGGTTCTTTGGCCCGAGTGTGGCTCTTCCACAAAATACCATGGCCTGCGAGAGTCTATTTTGAAGAAATGGCATTAGGAGAAGTTTAAAAAATTTGGCTCTCAAAAGAAATTTCAATCGTTGTACTGTTGGTATCTGGCTCTGTTGACTAATGAGTTTGCCGACCACGGCTCTAGATGTTTTTAAGATCTGAAACCTCATTTGTGGTTCTAGCAGCCATCTTGGAGTATCACAGCTGGTAGGTTTACTGGGTTGTGACCCTAGGCAAGTCTTTCTTTGCCAGGTCTGTTTCCTCATCTGTATGAGGGTTGGCCTCGATCAGGGATAGTATGGGCCTTCTATCAGTTATTAACTGTTATATAACAACTACCCTGAAATGTAGTACCTTTCCATAAACATGTTTTAGTTTCTGATTCTGTGGTGTAGCAATTTGCATTTTACCTGGGCTCTCGTGTGAGTGAAGTGACTGGCAAATTGCCGGAGGGCTGCTTGGTGCCAGATAACCTGACTCACTGGTCACACTTCCCAGCATCTAGGAAGAGTAAGCCCCAAGACACAAGTGCTCTTCAAGCCTGTGTCATGTTGGTAAGGCTCCACTGATCAAAGCAGTGGGTAAGCCCAAATTCCTCTTAACTTGAAGAGCTTCAAAATATGGCCACAATTTGTTTTTAATCTATCTTAGGCCTCATCTTACTTGCTGCTTCAAAACATTAGTAGCTGCTAGAGTACTTCTTGAGGATTTAGTGTTTTTAAAGTATTAGGAAATAATAACATGGCAGTGTAGTTTTTTTATATTGAAAGGAGTTTAAATGTGGATATGCGTAGAGAATTAGCCAACCCTGGCCGGGTCATAGAGACGGCAGAAATACAGGAGCTTGGCCAAAGCTTCTGAGCCAGGTAGCCTGGGTTTGAATCACAGTTGGGACATTAAGTCAAAATTCCTCCACCTATGGCCACATTGTTCATAACATTATTCCATAGTGACAGTAAACTGTTGCCTGAATATCTGCTGTGTAAAAGGCACATTTTAACACTGAATCTTAACAACCTTTAAGTGGATGTAGTGTGAACTTTTGGTTACAAGTTATAGAAACTGAACTCAAACCTCCTGAAGAAGTTGAGTTTCACAAATTGAGAAGTCTATTGAGTTTGCCGACCACTGCTCTATGTTTTTAAGATCTGAAACCTCATTGAGGGTGGAAAGGGCAGAGAGGGAACCCACAAAAGGGAAACAAGAGTTCTATTGCTGGAAAAAGGGAGGCTTGGGCTGACAGAAACAATGTCTGCCTTGTGTAGATGCCCATTTTATAGGTTGTATAATGTGAAGGTTTTAAGCATGGACCCATTGACAAGTAGTGTATGTCAGCAAACTAAAACTTAGGTGGTCATGGAACTTATCTACTCTCAAATTTTACTATGGAATCCTTTTCTTTTCCCCTTTTCACAGTTAGGAATACTCAATACTGTTTCCCGATACTGGAAATAGTGGCCTCATTCTTCTCACAACCAGAAATCCTCAAATGCCTTTGCTTTGTTACTCTATAGAAGGTTCCCTTCCAGCTGAACCGTTTGGTGAGAGGTAGCAGGCAAAAGGTTAATGTTACTTGTGAATGGGTAACCTAGGGCAACCCATCATTTTGAATGGGTTCCTTAGAGTTAAGCCAATTAAATATCTCAACAGGACTATCTTAAAGGGTCAGGATCAGTTCAGAGATGAATCTGTTGGATGAAATTAAAGATGTGTTGAAATTGTCAACTTAACTATGCTAACCTATCACCAAACTGTAAAGTCCCATGTCTTCCCCTGAGGGGTCCCACTAAATGAAAACATATACACACAAAAGTAATAGAGCGCTGATTACACAAGAGGCACTGATCCTTGCTTTATTTACTCAGTAACATCCAACATTGGGAATTGTGTGGGCGCAGATACAAAAGGAAGGTGGCATTATAAATAGCAGTCAAGTTCATCAGGGCAGTGGCCGCAGCTCAGCCAGTTTGAAGGAATGCTCTGCTCCCTCCAACACTTTATGGCCAAAGTATTTTATAACACTTGGCTTGTATTTTAAAATTAAGGGTCACAGTGATTAAAAACAACCATGGTCAAGATATTTAGGGCCAAGTGACTGGCTGCTTCTGAGCTGCTTAGGATCAGTCTTGCATCAAGAAAGTAGGAGCAACATTATGCCCTCATCCTTGGCCAAGTGCGTGCAAGGCAATCACAGCAGGCATATAAGATGATCTTTCCCTCATGCTCAGTGGAGAAATACCCTTTCAGCCAAATCCTCAGAAGGCAGAACTGGAGGCACCAGAAGCACCACACACAGGCAGCATCACCTCTTTCAAAAGATACTTTAATACAGAAAATAGAAAAGCATTTGTGGTGGGTCTTTTCAAACCTGGAACACAATTGTGAAGAAAAAGAAAAACTTCCTCTAGTATCATGGTTTAGATTTTTTTTGTACTGCACATGCACATCTCTTATGAGACACACTTCACAGCTGTTTCTAAGATTCTCTTGGTGGCCAATAAGAAAATTCAAAAGAGGGAGGGTACCTAGCACCTTGTATTCCCTCATGGTGACAGCTAGAGGACTTGGCAGTGAGGTAGTAGCAACAATCCTCACGTAATGAAATGAATTCATATCTATGTAATCAATCCCTGGACACTAAAAGTAGGCTGTCCTCCCAAATCTCATGCTCCAACCACCCTCTCGTGGGAAGCTGTGTCCACTTTATGCATCTCAGGAGAAGCTGAGAGGAAATGGCTGCCCAGCTGAAGTCACTGCCAGTGTCGTATTTTTGGATAAGGATGCAGAAACCTCACCAGATCCCATGTCCAAACTGTTTTTGCTGAATTCGTTAAGCACAATTTTTTTTTTTTTTTTAGAAAACTGAAGGACAAACCAAATTGAAAGAATCACTGTTATAATAACTTTAATTTCTCTTGCATTTTACAGAAGTCTTTGAACGATTTTAAAAAAGCACCACCTTACCCCATCTTGTTTCTCTGACAGTTGTTAAGGTAGGCAATGATTATGTCAACAGCTTGAGCATCTGCATCTTGCAAGGATTTCAGACCAACCAGCCATACACCAAAGAACTTGGCAGCTTTTCTATCTTGTTTTTTTAATACAATGGTATATCCACTCTGATGGTAAACCAGTCCAGCCAAATTTCCACAACACACTTTGCAAAACCAGTGGTGATTAGCAAATTAGTTAGCTTTGGCACGGAGCTGTGCTCGCTTGCCCGTGACAGCCTGGAAGCCGGTTTTGATGCTGGCAACAGAGCATCGAGAATGACAAGTTTCACACTGTAAGAAATACAGTCGGGTGTCCTTTTGCAGGATTGTGTCAGGTGATCGGCATGTGTGACAGGTGACATATTCCTCTGCAAGAAAAGCAACATAGAGAATTAACTGTGGCCCATGGTTTCTTTCCTCTGAAAATACTTCCACACTGAACTCTACAAGCCCAGGCTGGCACCCAGACCAAGGAAGCTTAGCTAAACTTATTTGTAAGTTTATCCCTAAACTATTCCAGGGTAAGAAAACAAGCTATCTGCTGCAATGCTTCGGGTACTGAACCATGGGGGGGGGTCAAATGTCCAAGGAAGCAGGAACACTTGCCAGATGCCTACTCACGCTTTTTCTATAGGAGAGCCACTAAGACAGACTTTACAGCTGTCCAAGGTAGGTGGGAAGAGACCTGTCAATTTTCTGCGATGAAGGAGATAAATGCAGACCAGGTCTGAACGCAGACAGATTTCTCTGGATTGGCCTTCAGCTTGGAACCATCCAGCAGCCTTGATGGGCTGGGTCTTCCCCCTAGACCCTCAATCAGCGGCCAAGAGGCACCTCCCTCCCCACTTCCTCATCACTATCATTTTACCTCACCCTTTAAGGCCAGCCTTTCAGCCCCATTACAAACCAATGACCCCAAAAAAAAATAATACAGCCTGATGAGAACATTTCAGAGAGATGTACTGAGATTAAATCGTACACTTACTGATATATCTTCTCAAAACATTTTCTATCTGTTTCTGTTGGAATCTTCCTTTGATTACAAGTTGGTTATTACCATCTATAGAACCACTATGAAAGAAAACAAATATCTCCATTATTGCTTTTTCCTATAGGGAACCAAATTCCAGGATCTTTACATTCAATGTATTTAAAATATATTCAATGGCATAGATTAATTCTAGTAGTGCTGATCTACTACCTGGCTTCTCAAAAAATATTTTAAATTAAGTAGTTGGTACCTGATGACCTATCTACATTTCCTAACACTTAATCCATTTCAACCAATTAAGTTTTCAGCAACAAAAAAAATTTATAATTGATTTTAAGTCTAAACACAAATTGCTTCCTTAACTGTGTTGATGGCTCATTCATCCAACAAGGTAAAACACTTTAACTGAATGCATACCATGTTCAAAGTTAAGACCTATCTTTAAAAATTTTAAGCACCAAATACATATTTTGATTATTATATATAGTTGATGGAGATGTCCTAAAACTGATTATGGAACTAGTTGAATTAATTATGTGAACATTGACTTGTACATTTTTTTATTTTTTTAATATATTTTTATTGATTTCAGAGAGTGATAGAAACATCAACGATGAGAGAGAATCCTCAATCAACTGCCTCCTGCATGCCGCCTACTGTGAAGATCGATCTCACCCCAGGACATATGTCCTAACCTGGAAGAGAACCCTGACCCCAATTCATAGCTCAACCACTGAGCCACACCAGCAGGGCTGAATTGTACATTTAAAAGTGTGAAATATATCTCTATAAAATTGTTAATCCCTCTACCTCTCAAGTACAGTGGAGTCACATGCCAAGTATTGTCAATGGTACTTTAAAAAGTTTTGAACCTGGCCAGTGTGGCTCAGTGGTTGACCGTGGACCCATGAACTGAAAAGTCACAGTTCAATTCCTGGTCAGGGCACAGGCCTGGGTTTCAGGCTCGATCCCCAGTAGGGGGGAGTGCAGGAGACAGCCAATAAATGATTCTGATCATTGATGTTTCTAGCTCTCCCTTCCCTCTTTTTTTTTTTTTTTTTTTAAAGAGAAACTTTTTCAAAAGAAGTTGATGACAAGCACTTTGAGAGAGCAAAGCTCTAGGCTAGACATTTGTTAAAAATTACAAATCATAAAGTGAAACAAAATTCATATATCCAGATAGTGTTAAATTTCAACATTTCACTATAAAAATGACTTTTGCACCCTGACCAGTGTAGCTCTGTTGGTTGAGCGTTGTCCCATGCACTGAGAGGTCACCATTTTGATTTCAGGTCAAGGCACATGCAGGGGTCCAGGCTCCATCGCCAGTGGGGGGCATGCAGGAGGCAGCTGATCAATGTCTCCCTCTCATTGATGTTTCTTTCCCCCCACCTCCCTTCCTCTCTAAGAATCAATAACATTTTTTTAAAAACAACTTTTATACCGAATCTCTCCTGTGATTCTCCTTTAACTATAAAGTCTTATTATCCTCCATGGACTGGAACCCTTAACCTACAGGCTATGGTGAATTTTAATACTTTATGTAAAGAATGTTTTTTCATTCACTGTCAAAAGAAATTGACTATTTCAACCCTATATTAAGTCCACTGACCTTAAGTTTACTGGTTCACAACTTGTTATAATAATTTATCCCACCACTTAAGAAATTATTCTGAGAAGTAGGAAAAAACTGCTAATTTTTACTCCATTAATTTATACAAGTTAAAAATAAGCAATGATCTCTCCCATTTTAGGGGAGGGGGGACAAACCAAAATTTTTGGTGGCCTTAAAAAAAAAAAAAAGCAACAATTATATAATTTACATTTAAAACATAATTCTTTTACAACATATCTAGTCAAGTAAACTACTCCTTAACCCCACAGCAAGTATAGCCAATTCCAACAGAGTTTCAAGAAAAGAGAGAACATATATATTAGTTATCTCTACTGCCAGTAAGGCACAGGATTAAGTCTTTTATTTTTTTTATTTTTTTTTTTTTTTAAATATATTTTATTGATTTCTTTACAGAGAGGAAGGGAGAGAGATAAAGAGCTAGAAACGTCGATGAGAGAGAAACATCAACCAGCTGCCTCCTGCACACCCCCTACTGGGGATGTGCCCACAACCAACGTACATGCCCCTGACCGGAATCGAACCTGGGACCCTTCAGTCCGCAGACCAACGCTCTATCCATTGAGCCAAACCGGTTTCGGCAGGATTAAGTCTTTTAAAGGAGCTCAAGCTGCTGAGAAACTAGCAGATCTGCGTTTGCATGTTGACTGTACCATGTTATATGACCAACTACAACTTCACTAAAATGGTTTCCAAATCTTTAAGATAGCTAATATTAGTTTCTACTAACACTTCATGCAACTGTTTTAAGACTGAAATGGTACCCAAGATGCTCAATATGTGTTATTCATCTTTATTATGCCCTGAATCTACTTATTTTTAAAGAGACGGTTGGCTTCCTACCACTTAATGGGGATGGACTGGTTCGGTGCCTTCAACAGATGAGCTCTTAAGATAAGTAACTAACTATGGATCCCTGTTTCAATGATTCTTCTGTGCCACTCATCAATGTGTAAGCTGTATTTCATCAATAGCCTATTAACAATTTAGAAATAAATACTGACATAAGAAAATAATTTCCTTTGAAATCTAATATTTGCTACATAAAGATCTAAGAATCCAGTTAATGACAGGAAACTCTAAACACAGCAGTGCCATGATCCGCATTTTGGTATGCCAACAGACCTGTTCAGATGAGTCACTGTTAATTCAGTTCTCTATTCCCAAGCAGCCAAGCTTTCCAATAGAAATGAGATGACTTCCCTCTTTCAGTGGCCTAGAAGTTCCTCTGATAATCAGGTGAATTTTTTCTCTTTTTTTTTTTAATCACTTAAGGGTATGTGTTTTATTTATTTCAGAGATGGATCCATTGCCTCCTATACGGACCCTAACCAAACCCATAACCTTTGGTACATAGGACGATGGTGCTCCAACCAACCAAGTTACCTGTCCAGGGCAGTGAAATTTTTTTTTCTAAGTGTGTTACATATCTTTTTCAGATTAAAAAAAGTTCTTACAAAATGTCCAGTAATACGGTATGTAACTACACTGAGTGGCCAGATTATGATGATGTCTGAATGCATAATAATCTGGCCACTCAGTGTATGTATATATGTGTATATATACACATATACACATACACATATATACATATTCACATATACATACATATATATGTATAGGAGGCAACAGATCCATCTCTGAAATAAATAAAACACATACCTTTAAGTGAGGGATTTATTTATTTATTTATTTATTTATTTATTTATTTTAGAGGCCCGGTGCATGAATTCATGCATGGGTGAGGTCTGGCCAGCCTGGCCTAGGGGAGGGGACATGGGCAGTTGACCAGCCTGCCTGCAGGTCGAATTCCTGGTCTAGGGAACAATTTGCATTATTAGCCTTTTATTATATAGGATATACACTGAGTGGCCAGGTTATTATGCATTCAAAGATCATAATAATCTGGCTACTTAGTGTATATATAAATGCAAAATAGTTTCTTACCTTGTACCCAATTCAGCCAATAAAAATGCAAGGAGATGTTTGGGCTGACGATGTAATCTAAAAAGAAAGTAGAATATATAAACTATCCTCCATGGAAAACTAACTAAACTTTTAAAAACCAACTTGTTCACCGTTTCAATTTGTGACTATTCTGCTATTAGGTGAACTATAGTGCAGTTCATCAAACTCTGAAATAAAAGGTACGTAATACATTTTAAAGACCATAAATATTGCAAAGTTATTATAGATACTGTATATACCTATGAGTAAATGTCTACAAGCATGGACAGAAAAGGTAAACAACTTTAGAAAGTAACATCTTTTCCTGGGAAGGAAGATGAAAGAGATGGCTTTAATTGTTAACTGTAAAACCCTCTTTTAAAGAAGTAAAAAGATAAGTAATTGTCAAAAGGTCAAATACATCAAATCTGGGCAATAGGATACTTGGGGGTGAGAAGTATGGCATGTGATGGTAATTAAAAAGCTGTCTTGACAATGTTCATCTGAGGTAGAAGCAAACCAAATTTAGCTGTTTTCCCTCAGCTCATCTGCTTGGCAAGCCCACCCCAGCCTCAAAAGCTTTTCTACCTCCCTGGGTTGGCCAAGCTCCTGTCTGAGGAGTACATTTAGCCTCCATACTCTTTCCATCTGGATCCATTCTCATGCATCAGCATGAGCTGGCTTCTCTGACCTCTGGATGTCTGATAATACAAGCCCTGAGACCTTTAAGTAGAAAGAACTGATATATTTGAACTCTGACTTTCCTCGACGCAACTTTGACAACTCTGCATAATCTTTCTACCTGCGATGAAGTCCTTAATAAGGACCTTTAACATAAACAGCACTGAAATATTGGTATTTGAAATGGAGATTCTCCATTAACGAACTTACAGTTTACAAATATCTGTAAAGTTGACAAAAGAAGTTTTCTTGGTTCCTACTCGGACGACCTGTGGAGGTTTCATGACAAATTTCCTTTTCTCTCCAGCAACCATATCTGGATTCTTTTCCCTCATGATGTTGAACACTCGATTCAGTAGCTATAGAGATAAAGTGGTATTCATGTACATTCTTATTAATAGCAGAGGAGTATACTGGAATCTTTGCTTTATCTTTAAGCAAACTTCACTTTTTATTAAATACACACATCACTCTACATTCTGGGAGTTCCTTGAGTGGAGGACTCAATTCTCAACCAGGATCTGGCCCATTATGAATGCTCAATTCCTTGTTCAAAGTTAATGAATAAACCCCTACTAATTCTGTTTCTATGGGAAAGTATCTGATACAATCAAGAATAAGATTCAGGAAAGCCCAAATAAGCAAACTCCATACTATCCTGATCCCAAAGTAGCCAATTCCTCTCTCCACTGCTCCCCTTCCCATTCCAGGGCCTCTATCCCATGTTCACAGATTCAGATGGGAACAGTGAGTACTATAATGACTGCTACACTGGCTGTCCCAGAGAGGGCAGCAGGCAATGCTTTGCACTGGCTACATGACCTCTGAGTCTGATTCACTAACAATTTGGAGTACAGTGGCCCTTCCAATTCAGCGAGTGTTTATCTTGCTTTTCTTTGAGTTCTAGTCACTAGTTTAGCCCCTTTCCGTAACAGAATCTGTCTTACCTCCTCATACGTGTAGTCTCTTTCTGAGCCTGCCCAAGCAGGGCCTGTCTGGTTACTGAATGAGATACCATCATCTTTTTTGCTGTCTTCATCTTCTAAAGCTACAGAAAACAAAGACTAAGAATGAGGGGTAGAGGCAGATCTAAAGAAATGAAAGTATCAAAGACATTTTCTTCCCTCCCAGAACTACATTCAAAACAGCCTCAAACATAAAGACATTAAGTTTCACAAGTAACCTCTCAATTCCTTAAAAACGGACTTTCATAAACAACCCTTAATAGAGACATCTCTAAGAACTTGTGATAACACAGACACACCTAACTGTTACTTAATTTAAGATAAAATAATGCACTGGGATAATTAGAAGAAAAAACATCCAACTGTTTAGGCACTTAAGAAGCATACACATCCATAAAAACCCATCTGCTGACTATGGTAAAGTTCTCTAAAGACCCTATGGCACTTAGAAACTAATAAAACAGCACTTTTAAAAAAATGAAATTTTTTTCCCAGCATTTAAAAAATTCAGTTACAGTAATTTTCCCAATCACCTGAAGCTGCATGATTTAGTAAAATTACAATTGCCAAATTCTACCCCCATGAAATCTTTAACTGTCATCAAGTTAGATACTGTTTTCCTTTTAGCTTCCTTAATCAGGTGGAAATTAGGGTCAAAAAATAAAAAAAAGAGGGGCCCACCTATCAAATAGATTAGGCCAAAGGCCTAAGTAACAAGCCCCCAATATTACCTTCGTCTTTCTCTAGAATTTCATCCTCATCTGGGAATTTAACATTTTTCTTTTTCTTCTTTTTATTGCCAAGCATAATGTCAAGGTCATCTTCTGGTTCAGCTGGTTCTTGAACATCACTTTCAATCTTAAGATCCTAAGAAATTAAGATGTAAGTTTCAATATTTTGATTCCAGGATTTAAAACACACACACACACACACACACACACACACACTAAACGATGTAGGCTGACATCCTTTTAGAGGGAAACATTTTAATATTCAAAACTAAAGTTAAATGTCTCTCATAGATAAGCCAAAGTGGCTCAGTGAGTCGAGTCCCTGTCACTTACGCTGGAAATTTCAAACCGTTCTGTGGGATCTTATCCTTTCTTTTTATTCACCAGCCTTGGTGTCTTAAAAAAAATATTAGCTATGTTTCCAAACCAGGCCACTGTCAGAATCACCTAGTAAATGTTTATTAAGATTCTTAAATCTTTTGACTGACAATCTTTAGCAGGAATAAGGGTCAGGAGTATTTTAAAGAAGTTCCTAAGAATTCTGATATAATCAGTGGGAGGAGGAGTTTTTTTCCTCCTGACACCAAATACATGGTGTTTTTCCACACCAATTCTTCAACTCTCCAACTAACTGGGTGACCTATAATTCATTTTAACTCTGAAACTACCTGTAGTTAGTGATAAGACTCCACAGGTTTAAGGGTTCAGTCCCTCAAGACTATCCTCACTTCAGAGGCCAGTCACGACTGATTAAATCACTGACTGCTGGTGATTTAATTCAAGTTCCAACCCCCTTCCCCAAGAAGAAGGTTAAAAGGGGGAGGGTGCCTGGGTGTATATGAATTCCAATCACCTAATCATGGCTTAACCTTTCTGATCACCAGCTCTTACCTATACTGAAGTTGTTTAGGAGTTCCCAGCCATCAGTCATCTTAAAATCGACACTTTTACTATTCCAGAGATTATAAGGGTTTTAGGAGCCGTGTGCCAGGAACCAGAGACAAAGACTAAATATTTTTTATTATACCAGTCAGCCTTGCTACCAGACTGCAAAAAGATATTTGGGCATCACTTCAACAGATGACATCATTAAAGAAGGGAAAGGCAGAACCCATGGAGAATTAGGATCACGTGAATGAATGGAGACAAGGTAAAGGTTGATCCCAAGATTAGTAGCTATAGTCATAGATGAAAATAGGGCATATCACAGCCCAGAAATTAGTCATAAACCCCCAAGAAGAGCCAGTCTCAGTCTCCAATTTCTCCCTCCTTTCACGAGCTTATCCAGCTCCCTGCCCTGAAATGTGCTGTCAACATTACCTACCAATATCTACTTTTATGTGCCTGCAACTGAACTAGTCTCACAATGGCTATAATAATCTCAGAAATCTTATCAGCAGAAAAGTTTAAATAGTTGGGAATAAATGAAGCTCAGCTCTAAGATCCCACATCCAGCTGCGTGGTCTTAGTGCCACATTTGGCCATTAAAGACCAATGAGCCCACTTGTATTAGGTGGATAATACACAAATAAAAAAAAGTTATTAACTTAGTCTCTAAGATGACAGTCAATAAATGAGAAACTCAGATATGCCAAGTATAAATTAGCACATACCAGCCAGCTTTCTGGTCCTATACTAGTATTTATTTTATCCCAGTAAGATCTACTTCCAAGCCTAGGCTAAGTCAGTCCTAGTGAAATGAAGAGAATCGTCGTATTTTTTTTTTCCCCAATAGCCCTGTGAGGGTCTGAAAATTCAGATAGGAGAGCAACCCAAGATTTTAAAAACACACCGCCTACAAGTTAATGTCCATGCCCTGACTGATAAAGATATTGATAATAAACTCTTATGTTATGACTTAAACAACAGAGAGAAAAAAGTATTCAAGCACTTAATAAGAGTAGATAGAGCTTATATAAGTAACTCTATAGGACAAAAGTTACTAACCAGAGGAATCAACCTAGAAAACCTTGTTAACCAAGATTTTCTGTGATACATCTCTGATGTGTCACTTTGTTATCCAGCATATTTAAACCTCACTTGTTCAGTATAATTTGAGCATCTCTCTTTCTCAATTTCCTTGCAATAGTAGGAAAAGAAGAGAGTCCCCAAACAAGGAGAAAATAAGATAAATCCAGGTAAAATGGTCTTGCTCTAAATTGTCCTGAAAATGGGGGAAATATCTTACTTATTTCAGTACCTTAGCAATTAGTACACAATGTTTGATGATTCTGCACTCACCAATACACATGTGAATTAACCAAGTCGAGGAAACGGTGACACCATTTCCAAAAGGCAATAAATTACATTTCCTGCTATATTCGGGATACACCTTGTTTATTTAAGTTTGAGCAAATAAACTTTACCAAGGAAAAGATCGAGAACACAAAATGGAATCTTTAAGAGCAGGCTTTCAGCTCATCCCTCCATTGATCCCATTCACATCCACCCATGTACCTATTGTACTTATTCAAAAGAATTCTATGATATTTATATTGGAAATCGATCTAGTATTAAGAGAACCTACTAGTATTAAGAGAACCTACAAGATCAGAGAACTCCATAAAAACAGCCTGAGTGCTCTGGTTCTCCCACAGGCCATAAGATCATCAGACACAACCACCACAGATATGTGCTCAGATACACATACAGTCTTTGTGGCTCAAGTGACACATAAATGTGTGTCTTCAACATGCCACCAAAATTTAACAGAGAAAACCAAGTGAGTGTTTGCTTCACAGATTTCTCACTTATTGAAATACTAAGGGTCCTAGGTCTGGCCAGAGATCAGGGCCTATTGGGCCCTTCTTTGTTCCATGACACCCTCTGGTGATCAGCACACATCATAGCAAGCAATCAAACACCAGGTCAAACTCCTGAGGGGACACTTTGCATATTATCCTTTTATAGATGTAGATCTTTTACTGAGCCAATCGCAGTCTAGTTAATGACAAGGGGCAACTATAGGAGCTGCCCCCTGGTGGTCAGTGTGCTCCCACAGCGGGAGCACTGCTCAGCTGATAGGTGCCAGAAGCAGGGCTCACTGCAGAGCAGCAGTGAGCCTTGTGGAGCAACAGTGAGCCTATCAAGCGGTAGTGGTGGCTGCGTTTCACCCTGATCTCCACAGGCCATGCTAAGGGACCCACCAGTGCAGAATCTGTGCACCAGGCCTCTGGTTTTGTAATCATTTTACGGGCCCACAATAAAATATGTAAAACCTAAATTTACATTACTTTTCATCATAATCCCTTTAAAATACCTTAATCAGACATAATGACCATAACAGTGTGATTAAGTACTTAACAAAAGCAAAGCTAGTAAGAGATGAAACAAAGAGGGAGAAACATCAGCCATTGAGCAACCTTTCAAGAGGTCAAATTTTACCTTCAATAAGAAAGCAATACTACCTTTACACCTTCTTCCGCCTCATCAATATCAAATATCTTTTTTGTTTTTTTCTTCTTTTTCTTTTGATTAAAGAAGTTCAAGTCATCTAGATCGTCAGAGGCATCTAAAAAAACATAATTAAGATTATTAACAACAAACAGAAGGCAAAGCATCCAATTATGAGATAAACCAACATTTAAGTTAGTAATTAGGAAAAACCTCATTAGAAAGCCATATTGAGAACATCTATGAATCTGATCGTATCACGCCTTACTGTTCCCAAGACAAAGTCAGGGTTTTAACACAATTTCCAAGCCCGCCCGCCCCCCTCCCCCCCCCAGCTCTCTCTCTCCACTTCTGCTAACATCTCATCTCCCATACCTTAATCCCTGGTTTCAGCCCAATGAAGTACTTCCACTTTAGCAATGCCTGTGGTCTCTCACCTCCAACCCTTGCCATGGACTCTCTCACATAACTCTTACAGGATCTAGTTAGAGTTACTTCCACCAAGCCTTTTCTAAGCCTATCTATCCCTTTCCCCCAATTGGATGCCCCCAAGGTGCTTCAATAGTATCTTCTATCATTCCAATGACTTGCTTATCTATCTTCCTAATAGATACTAAAGGGAGATACTAATAGATAATATGCATTGTTCACCTATATCCTAGTGCCTAGCTCTGCTTACAATCAATCAACAAAAGTATTTCACATTCATCAAATGAGGCTCTAACATGAATAAAATGAATTTTATCTACCATTACTGAGTAATATTGGGTTATGTTCAACAAACTTTCCATTTGTCCTACACTGTTGTACACTAGAAATATTTTAGGATCCCTCTGCTACAACATTTTTTTCAAGGAGCTATTTATGAATTCATTTTGTCTATTGCAAGAATGACAAACTTATTTTCCAAGTTTGTTTTAATTATATAAAAAATGCTTAGCACATGATAGTTCACTGAATGTCAGTTCTATCTCCAGTAGTGTCTTATATTCAACATACATTATGTTTACTGAATTACTTATTTCTAATAGTTATCTTTGTCAAAGCACAAAAGTGAATTATTAATGCTGGTGTCTAAACTGAAACACTTTTTAAATAATTTTAATTTCTTCTGAAGAGCAGCAGTGAGCCTTGTGGAGCAACAGTGAGCCTATCAAGCCTATCAAGTGAGCCTATCAAGTTTTCAAACTTGCTAAGACACAAAACTATCCATCTTGGTCTTATTCTTTCTGTCTACACTCAAATATAATCACCAATAAAATACAAAGAGAGACCTGACAAGTTAGACTGGAAAATCAGCCCTGGAATGACAAGGTGTAGCTACTTATGGAATCAGTAGGAATTTTCCTGAATGAATCTACCAGAAATAGGCAAGGTCCAGTGCCTCAATTTTCACTGGAATAGCCTTATCAGACTGAGGGGTCAATGCATGCACAAAATCCAAAACACAATGGAAGAGAAATAGGCTTTCAGCAAGAGTTCCTCTCCCACATCTACCACTCACCTTTTTTCCTACTGTCTTCTTCATCAGCCTCTACATCTTTGTCCTCAGTGGGCTCTGGCTCCACTTCTTTTGTTTCTGAGGGCTGAGTTTCTTCTGTCTGGGCATCCCCTTCCTCGTCTAACATAAAAGGCTTCTTCTTCTTCTTTTTCTTCTTGCTCATAGTAGGATCAAAAATCATCTGTTTAAAAGACAATAAAAAAGGAACCAAGTGATTGTTTTCACATTCCAACTATGCTGAATTCTCAAAAGACATTTTTTAAAAATATATTTTATTGATTTTTTACAAAGAGAAAGGGAAAGAGATAGCTAGAAACGTCGATGAGAGAGAAACATTGACCAGCTGCCTCTTGCACACCCCCTACCCGGGATGTGCCCGCAACCAATGTACATGCCCTTGACAGGAATCGAACCTGGGACCTCTCAGTCTGCAGACCAACGCTTTACCACTGAGCCAAACCGGTTTCGGCTCAAAAGACATTTTTAAAAGTAAGAGTATTTTGCTCTGGCCTAAGGTGTTTCTCAGTGGTCAGAGCATGGGCCCAGACTTGCGGGTTTGATTTGCAGTCAAGATGCATGTAGGAGGCAACTAATTGATGTGCCTCTCTCACATCAATGCTTCTATCTCTCCATCCATCCATTCCTCCCTTCTACTCTCTCTAAAAATCAATGGGAAAAATAACCTTGGGTGAGAAATAACGAGTATTTGATGCACTCAAGTACCAAAAAACAGGATTAGAAATAAGGCCATTCAGCCCTTATACTATTAAACATGGAACGAGAGTGGAGTGGGGTGTTGCTTAAACATGTGCACCACCTTTCAATTTGTAAATTACCACAAGGTACAGCAACTTCACTTTTAGTTTCATGAGCAAATGTGGAGACTTTATGATGAATTAATCACAGAATTTAGGGAAGGGACCTTAGTAATAACCTTTGCTACACCCCTCACTTTGTGGATGAGAAAACCAATACCTAGGAGGATTATACATGTTTATTTAAGGTTGGTAATCTGGGGAAAGTCCTGACTTAATAAATATTATCCTTAAATTCAGACCAACCTTTAAGGAAATCCAACAGCAACCCTTCACATAGCAAATCTATATTTGAGTAAGAGAAACTTCTATATAACCTTTTACTCTGCTTTTTGTTTCTGTAACATTAAAAGTTTTCTTGGGTTATTTTTATCTAATGTCCATTAGAGAATAAGCAAAAAATTAATTTATACTTTGTTGTATGTAGACTGTACTGATCACTTGGGGGGGAAAATACAGATGAAGTATTTTATTTTTTTAAATATATATTTTATTGATTTTTTACAGAGAGGAAGGAAGAGGGATAGAGTTGGAAACATCAATGAGACATCGATGAGACATCAATCAGCTGCCTCTTGCACACCCCCTAGAGGGGATGTGCCCACAACCAAGGTACATGCCCTTGACCGGCATCGAACCTGGAACCCTTCAGTTCACAGGTCGACACTCTATCCACTTAGTCAAACCAGTTAGGGCCAGATGAAGTATTTTAGACCTAACAGTTTAAACAACATATAGGGTAGACTCCAGTAGAGTGGAGTGAGGTCACTGAAGTCAAACAAAATTGGATTCAAATACCGATTATTTTTTTCTTTAAGCCCCTCACCAATTTATATCCAAATTCTATTATGCTTAAATTTAGCATTTTCCCCAATGAAATGCTATGACAGTACAGTGAAGTGTCTGGTGCCCAACTGAGTAAATTCAAGTCCTGACTCTTGCTCTTACTTGTATTACCCCAGGTTAAGTTCTTGTCCTCTCCACACCCGATTGAACATCAAACCCACAACCCAGCCAGGTACATGGCCTTGACAGGGAATCGAACCTGAGACTGGCACTCTAACCACGGAACCCTACCAGCCAGGGCTTAAATTTCTTTATTTCCTAAGTACATTAAGGAAACTGAGCTACACTGATACCAAACTGTGGTCTATACTAGAGTTGGTATCGTCCTCACTCGATAGAGAAGGATCTGCAAGATATTCTGGAAACTGATATAGCCTCATCTCAGTTATCCTCTCCTATCTTAAGGACCTAACTGTATAAATGAGTAATTCTGATATGCAGTCAGTCTTGAAGAACTTAATTTGGCAAACTTAAAAGAAGAACCAGGAGAAAAGATTCCCCACTGTTGACCTACTAAGCCACAGGTCACCCTACATGGAATGTCCAAGGAGGTAAGCTATAATTCATACGCACTCCTGAGATATGAAGATTTGGCAAAAGGACAGAGCACTCCAGGTACTATAAGTTTAGTTGTCTGGCAGGGCTTACAATTCACTTATTGCTTTTTTTTCCCAAGTAGCAACTACCTTGAAATAATAATTACATTTTATTATTACTCAGCATGACAGACCAAAGATGAGGGGTCCTGAAATCAAAAGAGGACAGCCTTACAAGTGCCTTATCCTTTAAAAAAAATTCATATTTAGCCTATAGGTTAACAGTTTATTTGTAGCCTTGTAAAGGGTTTGAATCTGCAGGGATTATACACTGAAATAATAGCTCTCTTAATTACTGACTCTGGATACTTAAGACACATTCATCCCCTCATTTTATTCTCACCACCTCTCAGAGTTAAAAATAAGGAAACCAGGGATCCCAAAGCAGACCTCACCCAAACCACAAGGCCATGTTGGTCTTTACTTAAAAAAATAATAATAAAAATTGCTTTTTAAGATTGAAAAGCAACATAAGACTGTTGTTATCTTTAAGTGATAGGATTCTAGATTTTTATTTCTCTTTACATTCTTCTGCATTCTATATACTTAATACAACACACATTCCATTTTAAAATCAGAACCTTCTTTAGCTTAAATAAGTTTTTGCAAACCACCTTACTGTATTGTATGAAAATCCAATGTCCTGATGGGATGGGGATGGGATGTAGTAATAAGCAATCTTAACTATTGACAGCACTTTTAAAAATTGGTCTAGAAAGTAATGAAACCTACAGATTAGGACTGTTCCTCACAGGCATCACCCACATCTCTCAAATATGTTTTCTAAAGGTCTAGGTTAAAAAGGCTATGTTGTGGTGAATTTTGGCTTAATTCCAGGTATAAAAAGAAATGTGTACAGCCCTGGCCGGGTTGCTCAGTTGGTTAGAGGATCGTTCTTAGGAGCCAACATTGTGGATACGATCCCCTGGTCAGGGCACATACAAGAATCAACCAATGAATGCATAGATAAATGGGACAGCAAACTGATGTTTCTCTCTCGTCCCTCCTTTCTCTAAAATAAAAAAGAACTGTGTACAGTTTACTTTCATTGTCTCCATGTAGAAATTTTTGCTTGTAAGTAGTCAGAAATTAAGGATTGGCCTAAGAATACTTATCTAGTTTAGTCAATAGTACTGAAGAAACCAGAACCTCACATCCTTCCAGAGTGGAAATCAAAGGCTGGTTCTAGTCTCACTAACTTGCTGTGTAATCTTGGGCGAGTTAACCTCCCTGGGCCCTAGCTTCCTGTCTATAAAATGAAGTTAGACTGGTAGACCTAAAAAGTGCCAAGCTACTTAATATTTTATTGGCTTCCAAAAGTTCTCTACTGGAATGCTGGTTCTGCAATATTCCACTTCCTTCAAAACCTGACCCCACTGCTAAAGCTGAATCCTCCAGTACCACAAATCTCTCTATTGATGGCTCTTTCTATCTCCTGTAGAAACTATCTGATCTCTCTTAACCTCCCCTATATCACTTGTGAGCACTTTACCATAGAAACTACACAAACAGCACCCCACAGTACTTTGTATTACACAAGTGTTTTATTTTTAAAGGTTATGAAGAGCTTAGAAAATATATAGAGGGGAAAAATGGAACACTGCCACTCTCAGGACTTTTGAAATACAGTAGCCCAGAGCAATGTCTACCATGACCTCCAAGCAAGAACCATCTACCTTCAGCCTCAGTTTCTCCCGAGAGCACAGGAACCTCCTGGTCACCTAGATGTAAGGCAATATTTCATGGATCTGGAAGTCTACTACTGGCTCAGCCACTTACTATTTGATCATGGGCATGATACACCACTCCAAGCCTCAGTTTTCTCATCCATAAAATGGGGCTAACAACAATAATACTTATCTTACAGGACTATTGTGGAAATCCAATGAGAGACTGGCGTCCACTCCAGAATAAATCCAAATTCCTTAATCTGGTCCTCAAACCCCTCCATGAACTGGCCACTAACCATATTTCAAGGGATTGGCGCTAACCAAATTATGATAGTCTACTTTCTGTGAGCACTCTCACCTGTCGTCTCTACCCTAAGATGAGCCTTTCCATCACAAGAGGAAATGCTAAGGATCGATCAAGGGCTACCTCAGAAGCCAACGCTCCGAAAAGCCTTGGATTTTTTCTCTTCTTTCCAAGGCCCTACAGACCAAGCACTCGAATATTTACAGACATGAATTACAAATTCAAGAGGCGCCCCCCCCCCCTTTTTTTTTTTGGTGGGGAGAGCTGGCCGGGAAGCAGTAACTCTCCCACCAGTGTTAATGAATGCCTACGGACAACACCTAAAGTCCAGTTTTATTTTAAGCCGTTTGGCTTCCCCTGAGCTGGGATCCATCGGCCAGAGGGACCTGAGGAAATGGGCTGAGGGGCAACACGAGGGTAGAAAAAGGCCCAGCCCGCTTCGCGGCCCGACTTCCCGCTCTCGTCACTGTGAACTCCGGGAAGGAAAACTCAGGGACTCCGCCCTAAAACTTCCCAAAGTCAGACACTTTCTGAGGCTGGAGCCTCGAGACCTCTCCCCCTCTCTCCCCCACCCCCTAGTTCTCGAGATGAGAGAACGGCGGACACCGACCAGGAAAAGCCAGCCTGCAAAGTTTTGAACGAGGGCGCCCGCCGGCGCGCAGGGGGGCTCCTTCGCCCCCGCCGGCGCCCAGCGCGGAGTGCGGGAGCTGCGGGGTCGGGTCCAGAGGCACGCAGGGGTCGCCAGCCCCAATCCCGTTCGGTTGGGACATTTAACCAGCATTCAAGCCCCTTAACCGGCACCCAAGCCCCATTCTAGGGGAGCGACTCCATAAAACTCTTCATTCCGGAAAAGCCGGCTTCAGCACCGCCGCTTCAGAAAAGCCGGCTTCAGTGCGGGACGCGGCTGAGGCCGCGGCTCCGGAGTCCTCGCGGGCTCTACTGCTCCGGGCCGCCTAGGCCGGGCTGTCCCACATGGCGGCCGGCCGCTAGGCCGCAGACTCGGTCTCCCACACGGGGATGGGTACGGCTCCCCCGCCTCAGTCCCCAGCCCTAACGCCAGGGTCAGGCCCTCACCTCGTCTCCGGACATGGCTGCGGCTCGAGTAGGCTCCGCACGGACGAGAAGTCGGACAGGTTAGCCCCAGGCCTCCGCCGCGGCACCGATCTCGCCGACACCTCTCCCACAACCGCACTAGGCTCTTGCATCAGCGAAAGGGGTGATACCCCGCCCTCGACTCCCAAGCGTTGAAAGTGCGCCTGCGCAGAGCCGGTCGCGGCGCAGGCGCGCGGAGGAGGCGTCCTAACGCGCAGTCTGGCGCGAATTACGCGGCGACGCCGCATCTCGCGACAAGCCGGGACTTGTAGTCCTCTTGGAGGAGGCGGGCCTTTGCGCGGCGGCCTCGCAGCGATCCAATCCTGTGCGTGACGTCTGAGGAAGACTTCCGGGAAGGTTCGGTTGTTTCCTGTGGTGACTTTTACCTCATGCTTTCGCGGAGTGGGGCGTCTGCTCTTGCAGTGAATTCAGGGCCATTTCTCCTGGGTTAAACAGTAATATGGACCCGTTGGGGCTTTCATTTTCCTAATTACTTTACCGTGCCCCGTTGGGGTGTTTTAGTGTTTGTGAGGAACTCTAAATTGGAGCTGGAGATACTCAACCTCACTAGGGGGTATTACTTCGTGGGAAATTTAACCTAACAGGTTGGATTTCAACTTGGGAGGTCGCAAACCAAAGAGAAAAGACGTACCCTGAGGAGAAACGGCCTGGCAAGAGCGGACAGTCGGGAACCTCAAAACTCCTTGTTTATGAAGTCTCTGCGTGAACGCGCTGGGTGCATCCTGCAATTCCCTTGAGGCATAATAATAGCATCTACCCCTTTAGAGAGCTCTCCGCGTGTCATCGCCCTCCCCCCAAAGACCGCCGGGAACATAGTTGGACAAAGGTGTGCTTGTTTCCTGCAAGGAGGGGAGACACGGCATAAGGAACAGCGGGCATCTCAGAGAGGGTGCTGAGTCCAGTTTGGCTCAGTGGATAGAGCGCCTCCGGTGTTCCTAAGGGTCCCGGGTTTGATTCCAGTCAAGGGCCGGGACCTCCGTTGCAGGCTCTTTCCCAGGCCGGAGGCAACCAATCAATGTGTCTTTCCCTCTCTCTTTCACTCTCCCTAAAAAATAAAAATAAAAAAAAAGGAAAATATCCCCAGATGAGGATTAACAAACAAACAAAACTAAAAGAAAAAAAAAAGAGGGTGCTGAAAAGAATGTACAGGATTTGGCTTGTGTTCGGTAATTTCCCTGTTTGGGAAATGCTGGTGTGATTAGCAAATTGTCTTCATCGCTTTCGTGAAAAGATTTATTTTCCTTTACAGCATGGTACCAGGCATGACCTCCCTAAACTGACTAGTTGTAACAGACTTTCTTCAGAGATTTCCCCAAAGGTAGTAATTTTTCCCCCCAGGAAAAGCCAAAATTCCCTGGGGTGTTGGCAAGTCACAAAGCAATGGAAGCTAAGCTTTTCCAGGATATACGTCCTACTTAGACTAAGCTACTAAGAACATCAACACAAATCATCATTTGTATTTTTCTAACCTCTTTCATCTAGGAATCTCTGCAAAACAAACAGTTATTAATTTCTTCCCGTAATGGTGAGGGAAGTCATTATGATTTTCTTGTTTTATAGACACAGGAGCCAAGTTATGAAGTGCACAAAAATTAGTGAGAAATCAGAAACAGATTACTGGAATCTATACTCTGGGCCATTCTTGATGCTCAGCCCCACCCCAGATCTCCAGCTGCCCAACAGTAAGCTAATGATTATAATTCTTCAATTGTATACTAACTTTTTTGCTTTCATAGTCTTTAAAATATTCCGTAGGCTCTTCACTTGACCCATAAAATAGCAGGTCTATGGTGGCTGTGACTTAAATAATTGCAGTACCTTATCTAGAACCCAGATCTCATGAGTCTTAGTCCAATACAATTTCTACTTCATAAGTAAGTCCATATATCCTTGTAAGTGATATTTAACTTGTAGAAACCATAATTAAATAATCTGCATAGAAATCCAGACCTATTTAACCCTTTCACCCATGAGCACCTAATTGTATGGGGCCTTTAAGAGTTAGCTTTGGAGACACACACACATAAAAAAGCAAGTCACAGATATTAATGAAAAGCACTGGTAACTCTAAAATTGAATTTATATTTGGGTTCATGTAGTAGACGGAGAGTATAGTGAGGATCCCCCCAAAGAAATCTTGAATAGTTATCATTTGAGAATTAAACCAGTAGGAATAAATTCTCAACTATTTAGTCATATATAGAAATGATTTCTGAGAAAATGTCACTGAGGAGATTTAGGAATCAGCATTTCTAACCAAGTTTACTAGGCTATATATACTCTAATGAAAATACTATATCCAAATACTGTCATTATGTCAGTGATTACCAAATCCATATTTTCAAACCTAACTTTTCAACCTCACATATTCAAGTGTCTATTTCTCTACTTATCTAAATTTACATGTTGAGATCTCAAAGTTACTGTGTTTAAAACAGAACTTTGTGTATTTTCTCTTGTAAGTCTTCATCTCAAAGTCACTACCCAGTTCCTTAAGTCAAAAACTCAGGAGTTAAGTCCTTGCTTTTCCTCACCTTCATTCACTTAATTATCAAATCTTGATTCTAGCCGGGATCGGTTTGGCTCAGTGGATAGAGCGTTGGCCTGCGGACTGAAAGGTCCTGGGTTCGATTCCGGGCAAGGGCATGTACCTTGGCTGCGGGCACATCCCCAGTAGGGGGTGTGCAAGAGGCAGCTGATTGATGATTCTCTCTCATCGATGTTTCTAACTCTCTATCCCTCTCTCTTCCTCTCTGTGAGAAATCAATAAAATATATTTTTTTAAAAATCTTGATTCTATGTTCATAATAAAACTAAAATCCAACCATTTCTATCTCCAATGCCACTAGCCTAGTCCAGGTGATCTCTCTCTTGGATATTATAGCATTCTCTTTCCTCTTTCCTTCATTACACTACAATTAATTTATTGGCCAGTTGTTTAGTGGTGATTTTCGTAATCTCACTTCACTACTAGAATGTATATAAATTCCTTGAGGTTAGGTACAAGCTGTCTTGTTCAGTATGATATTCCCAACATGTAACAAAGCCTCGTATCATCACAGGCACTTAGATACTTGGTAAATATTCATTGAATTACTACAAAAATCCAGTAGTGCCCATAATTGCTTACAGTAATATAGTTGAAGTTGGAGCCTTAATTTAATCATGTACAGTAAAAATGACTGAAGCTAACATAATTAAAACTAGTTGTAACCCAATATGTCTGAAAGAATGTGTTAGAATTGAAATAGTTCACCTGGAACCCAGAAAGAGAGGAATCTGCCAGGATTTGCCCATGTTTCTTCATCCAGCTGTGTTCAGGATTGAGATATTGTAAACCCAAAGAATATTGTTAAGCTAGTAAACATAAATAATTTCTTAAGCTTCACCTGGTTCCTGAATAAAATCATGCACCTCTCTTTTCTTCTCATCATTCACCAAACAATATTTTAATTACCAACTTAGAGTCTCTGGTACCTTTATACCAGGAAGGAAGTACTCTGGACAGCAAACACACACACATACACACACACACACACACACACACACACACACACACACACACATATATATATATATATATTTTTTTTTTAAATCTTCGCCTAAGGATATTTTTTCCATTGCTTTACAGAGAGCTTGGAAGAAAGGGAGGGAAGAAGGGAGGGAGGGGGAGAGAGAGAGATAAAGGTTATGTGCCTTTTATCTAGAATCAAACCCGAGACCCTTTGGTGCCAGGGCCGACCCTCTAACCACTTAGCAATACTGGCCAGGCTCAAACTAAAATATTTTCATCACTGAAAAAAATATTTTAAACTCTCGAATGTAACTCTGTGAGGGCAAGAAATTGTTAATCACAGCTGTGTCCCTAGAACCTAGAATAATGCTTAATTACAAAGATTCTTTGTAGGTGTTTGATAAATGAATGTGTATTAGTAAATTAGAATTATACTTTACACCACATTCTTTTATGAATTAGGTATTGTGAGTCAGTCCTCAAGTGTATTTCCATGCTAGATGCATTAGAAAAATTAGATTTCTTGTCTTATAGGCCAAATAGGAGATACTGAACTCCAGCACTCTACCACAAGGGTCTGTGTGACCCTATTTGGTTAGCTGACATCCTTCTCCAATGTTACGACCTTGGCTTTTTGTAACTTCAGTTCATTCTCCATCTGGCCTGCAGTTTCCTTTAAAAAAAAAATCTAATCAGTTATTTCTGTTCCTCTGTTTCTTTTAGAATAAAACTATCCACAGTCTGCCTCCCCAGGGCTCTTCAACTCTGTACTCTCAACCTTTTTTTTTTTTTAATTAAGTTTATAATGTATTAATCCTCTCATGAAAAATCTGCACAGTCGTCATCATAGATAAAGTCACCGAAGAATCTTTACTTCTTTTTGCCAGCACCAATATTGGCCTTTGCAGTCCTCCTGACTTTCTTTATTCTGTTCTTGCGTTCCTTTCTCTGTTTTCTGGAGGTCTTCTTCTCAGATAGGCCATGTCTTACCAGTCTGTGTTTGGGGTCATTTTCTTTGTATAATCCAAGGAATCATAAATCATGTCAAAGCCAGTGATCTTGCCACCACCAAAGTGGGTTCTGAATCCAAACACAAAGATGACATCAGATGTGGTCTTATATATTTTGACTAGTTTTTCCCGAATTTCTCTCTTGGGTACTGTTGTCTTCCCAGGGTGAAGGACATCAATGACCATTTGCTTCCACTGAAGTAGTCTTGTTGGTCATGAACTTCCTGGTCTGGATAGTTACTATGTCATTCATGATGATTATCTTCAAGCAGGCAGGGAGGAAAATAAAAGCCGCTCTACCTTTCTTAATACTCCCCATCATGTATTCTAAGTTCCAGCTACACTAATAACTACACTAAATCTCCTGAACATGCTGGTCCCCTGGCTGAAATGCCTATCCCTTCTCTCCCATCTGATGAACTTCTGCCATCCTTTAAGATCCAGCTTAGATG